TTTTTTCTTTGATGTCTTATTTTCTTAATAGCAATGCAAACAAAGCATATCTTACATGATTATGCAGCATATTTTAAGTCAATGTAAACAATATATTTCCTAGATATATGAACAAAAATCAGGAAATACATTGTAAACTCGATGTCAAACATGTAAGCTAAAGCATGCATTACAAGTGAAACAAACAGGGACAGAATCATAAAAGCACATTGTTAAATGGAGACATCAGGTTGGGATCTGAAAAAAAATTACTCAGGTTACATAGTTCATTTGATGATATATCATTAAATGACCTGATATGAGGTACAGTACACTGGCTGTTCAAATAAACACATCCAACACTTTGTATATCCATGATGTCTAATATGACCTAAGTAACACGGAGAATGTATTTGGTGATCATTTCAGCTTGCCTTTAGAGCCACCATCAGGTTTTTCCTCTTTTAACACACTTTATGAACACGTACACTCACTGAGCACAATTGTTCAACTATTAATTTATGCAAACATCTAATCAGCCATCAGCAACTCAATGCATTAGGAATCTAGACATAGTCAAGATGATCTGCTGAAGTTCAAATCGAAGTTCACATGGGCATGAGGTCAAAATATTCATGGCCCTAACTACTAGTATACATTATGACTAAATGAATCGTTGTGTATCTCACTCCATCTAGTTTTGCACACACTCTACAGTAAAATAACAAATGACAAAGTTCACAGGTTAGAGTTAAAAGTCATTCATTTATATCACAAATTTGTAATATTCTTGGTATTTATAATTGAGTGCTTTCTATATATTAGTGCTATTTCTTAAATGCATAAACTTTGCAATAAATTGTATTATTTAATTAGTTTAGTCTCTTATTGTTACTGTCTTGGAGCAACTGTAACGCACATAGTTTCCTTAGGGATTATAAAAGTATTCTGATTCTGATCCTCCAGTTTCTTCCTGCCATAAAGTGTAATGCAGATTAGACTAGAGCAGTAGATCACTGCATATGCACATAAATGATCTTAAATTGATTATACCATAGACATGGGGACATGTTTAAAAATATGCTTTAATATAAATAAAATATCTGTGTGTGAAAATATATATATCAAAGAAAATGTACACAAAATGCATACTATATACATATTTTTTATTTTAATACTGGCTCACAGGAAAGACGCATATTAATTAAAAAAAAACATTAATATCCATCCATCCATGGATTAATATGTGAAAAATGCCAGAGAAAGTTATGTAAAGTCTTTGTAGCCATGCATTAATTTTTTTTATTGGTAAACGCTTCATGCATTACCTTTCTCACCCGCTAGAGGGTGCTGAAGCACCACCTACAGAACAGGACGCACCCACTGAGGTCAGAGCAACGAAAAGCAGCTTTCTTACCTCAGAGATCAGAGTAGACAGAAAGAACAATGGGCAGCTGAGGG